TAACTACTATTTATACTTGTTTTACAGTATTAATGCTAACTGTCCGATAACTGTCTACTTTACCCTATCAATAAATGATAGCAAGAGCGATACATAATAATTTTCTTCTATAGTCTTTAATATCTGAACAACCCAAATAACATTTTAAGTTTTATTATGGTCTTCAAGAACGCTTTAAAAATTTTGTTTTAAAGCGTTCTTGAAGACCATAATAAAACTAAAAATGTTACTTGAAAAGGCAAAAGCTCTTGAAAGTTGAAAGTTGAAACTAGTGGTGCAACGGTTTCGGGTTTTACGGTTACGGTTACGGTTACGGTTAGCTATACGGTTACGAATAAATTCACGGTTATTCAAAAAAAAATTACAGAATTACGAAAAATAAAGTTTTGAAATTAATACACACGTTCAGTAAAGGTTAAATAATAATTTATGTAAAACAAAAACAGAATTTCTAATAAAACTGTAAAACAATAGGAAATTAGTTACATTTTAAACCTAAAAACAGTAAAGTAAAACCTAAGTAGGTACCTGAATAATATATTTAAAAATATAAAAAAATTAAATGTTAATTTAAAATAATTCAAAATTCAAAATTTACGAGTCAAATTTTTATTTAAAAAACATAACATCTGCAAATTCTGCGGAATCAGCCTGTTCCTATTTGGTGTTTGCACAAGACCTGCAGTCGAAAACAACCTCTCCGAATTCACTGACAATGGTTTGTATAATACCTTAGTGCCAACACTCTTAAACGCCGAAACGTGTAACACGTTTTCCAGAATGTAAACGGATTTGACTTAGGTGGTATATTTGGTAACGTTAATTACTCCTCAATCTTTTTTTAACATGCATTCACAAAGTAGCATGAAAAACCGTAAATACGGTTACGGTTAACGACATACGGTTACGGTTAACCGTATAATATCGAAAACCGTGAATTAACCGTAACCGTAACCGTAACCGTTGCAACACTACTTGAAACCCTTAAAATTATTGTTAAGGAATTTTATAGAGAAAATGCAAAAGTTTTACGAAAAAAAACACAAGATATCTTTTTTGTATATCATCAAAATGAACGAAAAATAATAAAAAACCGATTTAAGTACACTTTATTGATCGAACAAAAATTGCTTGTTAGTGGCTGGTTTAATTATCAGCTGGAAATATTTAACAAACTTGAAAATATTTTATTGGCGAAGATTATAATGCAAATTGTGAACAATTTGCGCTGTAAAACATTTTAAGCTGCTTAAATTTGGCAGCAATAAAGTTAATAGAAACGGGAAGCAAATTTGGGGAAAATTGACGATAAATTTTACTTACTGTATAATTTCGTTATGTGCCAAAATTTTGCAAAGTTTTACAGCGATATCGTGAGTTCTGTAAATCGCGTGAGTGGAAGTCTCAATTAAAAACTTTAAAAGCACACTGTTTTAGAAAGTCATGTTCTTGTTGATAAATATTCTTTCTCGCCTGTTTAAATCAAGAAAAGTTTATAGTTTTTGTTATGGCTCTACTATTCTTGTGTAGACTATAAAATCCATGTTTTATGCATAAAAAACTACAAAATGCTTTTATGTCATACCATAAAAGGGCTCTCCATAATTGCATGAAAAAAAAACATTTTTATTCTTGTGTCCTCATAGGTTTTTTCATTTGTTTTCCTTAAATTTCATAATTTTTGTTGATTTAATATGCCTGTAAAAATTTAAAACAATATTTTACAACCTGAAACAATAATTTAGCAACTACTGATCCCTATATTGATGTAACCATGAACTTTGAAGACACCCTCCCTTAAGTTTCAGTATAATGAATTGAAGCCAAAATGTCAATTCTAAAATTAATTGATTTAATACTCCAAAACAATGAAAGTTCTAGAAATAACTTTAACCACATGGAGAGAAATGTATAGTAAATTTTAGATAGTAAAAAAAATTTAGTAAAATTTACTTTAACAAATTTTTAGGGTAACAATATTATATATTCGTCAATACAATATTAAGATTGTAATACAAAATACTATTTTTTATTATACAATTTAAGTAAAGATTACAATACCAACATTACTAAATCATAAATGTATAATATATATTTTAATTTTTAATATGTTCGTATAGTAAATTGGTTTTACTATCTACAAATAGTAATATTTACTATATGATTTAAACAAATGTAAGGTGTACATCTAATATTATAATATATTACACATTAATAAAAAATATAGTAAAAATAAAGATACTTTTATGTTTAAGGTAAATAAACAATATATTTAAATATAATATACAATATAGTAACTCATGACATTTTAAACATTCAATTTTCTTAGTTTCTTCAATAAACTTTCTTGACCCATTACTGGTAGTACTTATAAGAAAGAATTGAACCTACTACTGGTTGCATAGTATGTACCGATTGCGGCTAAGGCCACGTCGCGACGCGTCGTTAGACGGTGTGGATCACGTGATGTTCTTACATCTCGCCTCTGTTGGCTTACCAACCATATTATATAAGCTCAGGTATTTCTTTGTTTTGGGTGTGTTCCACTACTACAAGTTGCTCGACAGTGTCGTGTCGACACTGATGATACCCAATATAGGACGAAACACCTGTCTGTCGGTATTTGAAGTTGATGGAACGCACTCAAAACAAAAAACTTTGGCGAGGTGTAGGTTCATTTCTTTCTCATAACATTTTTGTATATTAAAAAGTACAATAAATATGTTACCATTTTTAATTGTTAACATATAAAAATATTCGATTTTAAAATATTTTATATTTAAAATGGCAACATAATATTTTAAAATTTTCTATACTTGAAGTAATGGAAGAAATCTAATTATAATAAGAATTAAAAACAAAATTGGTTGAGAATAATAATATTTTACCTTAGGGTTTAACATACATGGATATTTAAAAATTACTAAATATGCATAGTATCTGGCAATATACAAGATAGTTGTCCCAAATAGTAATATAAATTATAGTAAAGGGTATTATAATTATGGTAATCAGCATTTTACTTTTCTCTCTGTGCAGATTTTGCACTTTTAAGTATTAAAAGACCTTAAATACTTAAATGTTAAGTGTAGGGTAGACTATGAGAATTAAATTTATTTTCATCCAATAAAAAAATCCCTGCGGCAACTTTTGCAAACTTTTCTGCTGCGGTCCTTTTTAAAGGAGTTTAAAATTGGAAAGGTGCTCGTCCTTTGCTTTTACCCGATATACATATTTTATAAGGAAACTTTGGTCGGACTATTTCAGCAACTCGTATGAGGACTGATTTATGAGTTTTCATCCAAATTATTTAACGCTTTAATTAAAACTTCCCACAGATTTTTTGTTATCATTTTGGGATTACACAGGGGAAGCAAAAAGCATAAAAATGTGTTAGGATTTGAACATTTAACAAAAATATATATATATATATATATATATACAGGGTGTTTCATATTCGTGGTCAAAATTTGAGAAATGGGTGTCAATTTGTTATTATGTTTGGCAATATGGGGGTGAAATTTTTGGAATCTTAAAAAATGGTTTAAAATATTCCTTGTCAATTCCTTTACATTTTTTTTTGTTAAGAGCAGGGCTGTCTTTAAATTATAAATAAAAATATTTCTAAAAAGTGTACGATTAGTGTGTGGTCATGGTTTAAACATTGTCATTTTAATGCGTTTACTGGTTGATAAAAAATGTAAACTTCTATTATTGGACATATTATGTCCAATATCATACTCTATTAATATCCCGGGCATTTACCAGCCAATTCTTATGTAAAATTGTCCCCTGAAAAAAACTATAAAAGTTAAGCAGTTTTTGAGATATAGTCTATTCCATATTAAATGTAAAATTGAATATATTTCAAAAACTGTTATACTTTTATAACTTTTGACGACATTTTCGGAGTCAGCGAATAATAATCATAGGAATTGACTGCTTAATGTCCTGGATACAAATTGCTGTTGACGAAAATTATTAGTGGCTGCTTTTTCGCCATGGCATTTTTGACTTATTCATTTTTAGAGAGTAAGTAATATAGTGATTTCTTCGTCACAGGACATCTTGTAGAATAACAGTGATTTAAATACATTGCATGATAGAGAACATAAAAAACTAATGGCAACAAAATTAATAAATTCGAAAAAGACTTTTAATATACCACCCGAAAAAATATTAGTTATATATATATATATATATATATATATATATAAATCATCCTGTTCCGGCCTAAACATTATAAATGCTTCACAAACTAGAGATAACAAACTTAATGATATTTGCAACAAACTATTTCAGAAGTCAGACCAAGTATCCGAGTAAGAAATATATGAATTATATATGATATTATATATATAATATGATATGATATTATATAAATAATATGATATATATAATATGATATTTACAAAAACGAAATAAAAACATATTACCTAAAACAGCTATCTATCTAAAAAATATTTAACAATTTATGTTATCTGATGTAAAGTTGTCCAATAACTATGGTCCATGTGTCCAATTACTATATAAAATATCCAATTACTATAATTATTTGCATGTTTTTATAAAACTGTTATTAAAAATTTTAATATTTTTATTTTTAAGTAAACGTTTATAAAGTTTAAACAAACAACTATTCTTTTTATATTCTTATAAGAAAAAACCTAAAATCTTTAAAACAGTTAACAGTTAACAATTTAAAAAATCCTTGTTCAGTAAATAAAAGCAGATAAAAACCCTTTATAACATAACAAATATTCCCTAAACATCTTCAAATTGTGTACTTAACGAAGTGCTTTAGGATTCCTTTGAATTGCGATGTCCGTTACATTATATATTCGCCATTCTGCATTTCCATTTTCCTCCGCAGTGACACAATTTTTATCCTGACCTCTCGTAACCCATTTCACGTTTAGTCGCATACGTTTTTCTTTTTTAAACTCACATCTGGAGAATCTGTCTTATTACTAATGTATGCTTTCGTTTTATTTTTGCAGTTCCTCCTAGAAAACCCACCATCATAGATGAAAAAGGCAAAGAGGTGCCTTCAGTCGCTGGCCCTTATGAAGAAGGAGGTGACATGAAGCTCACGTGCATTGTCTCCGGAGGTAAGATTGCATTAATGAAAATATTATACTCTCTAAAAATTAATTAGTCCAAAAATTGTCAAAGCAAAATAGCAATTTGTATACCGAATATTTAGCAGTCAACTTTTATGTAAAATTGTCCCATGAATCTGAAAATGTGGTCAAAAGTTATAAAAGTAGAACAGTTTTTGAGATATAGTCAATTCTCCATATAATATGGAATTGACTTAATCTCAAAAATTGCTGTACTTTAATAATTTTTGACGGTATTTTCGGATTCAGAAGACAATTTTACAAAAGAATTAGCTATTAAATAATGGCGATACCATGTTATCCCATGGTTAACCACTGCAGTAACTAGTCATTTTTAGAGAGTACAATAATGACCCAGGCCAGCAAAATAAAACTCTGTAGAATGTTGATTATTGCTCACTGAGTAAGCATATTTTTTGTTAGTTGTCATAGGTCAGTAACAACCGGTGGCGGCCCTAAATTTACTTATTCAAAATTTAATGATTTTTTTATTAAAAAAATTTCACCCATGCAAAAATGATTTGGTGACACCCTGTATTACCAATTATCCTCTCAGTGTTATTAATTAAAATTATAATATTACGAAATTATTCAGAACATTTATGTAGCAAAACAAATACCAGTTGATGAAATGCATGCTAAGCAACGTAAATGACGATGAATATGAAACTTTGTAACAAAGAGATACCAAACAATAATCAGCAAGCATTTGTCAGCGTAATTTGGGACGTCAAAACACAATAATTTTAATTGGACGTCATCTAAAATAACTGAAAGTAACTTCAGCAAAGTGGAAGTGAATGATTACCTTAATATTCTCGTTTAATATTTTAGTTAGATTATTTTGAAATGGTTTTAGGCAAGTTTCTACAAACGGTTGGAAGATGGCACAGCTGTTTGCTCTTATATTTTCAAATTCTGATTCCACTTCCAGATACATTTAGCCGGAAATTGGGTGGAATATTTAGGCAGCAAATATTCTTTATTAAATTATATTTCCAAACCCAATATACACTTCACAACCACAGAATTATATTTTTTACAAAAATTGAACGAAATATTTTTTACTTGTTCTCGTATATTTTGTGTGAAGCAAACTACAAATTAAAGAGATATCTTACTAAGTTTATCTTAAACAGTATGACTTTATCCAGGCAAATATTTTAAATGAAATACAAACCATTTCCCTTTTGCCCGGTTTTATAGCAAATGAGATACAGACAACATTGCACCTCGGTCATGGACTTGTTAAATTATAATCTTGAAATTGATGATAGCTGGGATGTTAAAAGTAAAACAACACTGGAGAATCCTAAGAAAAGCTGTTTGTATAATTACTCGTTTAGATTTATTGTTTTAATTATTTTTAATTAACAGGTAATAAATAAATAAATGTTTTACCGGCATACATACAGTGGGTAGATAGGAAATGAGAGTTCTGTACATTTGTTTATTAATGTTTATTTGTTTTTAATGCAGCATCGGAGTAATAGATCAACATGATATTTTGAATATAGAGAGTATAATAGGCTATTTTAAGTAAGTAGATAGGAAATGAGAGTTCTGTTCATTTGACCATAAACAATTAAAAAAAAATGCACAACAGTGTGACAATTAAGAGGATTTTAGTCGACCGAATACTTTACAAAGGGTAGAGTAGACAGTTATCGGACATTTTATAGTTATTGGACAGTTATCATTAATACTGTAAAAATAAGAGTTCTATAAATAGTTACCTTAAAGTCAAATCATTAGATGACGCTGTATACAATTACAACGATCTCAGTCAGTAATAATATAGAACTACTCAATTTTGGATCCAATATATATATATAAAGGGTGAGCCATGTTTATGTTGAATTATAAAATAGCAATGAGAACAAGAAAAGCTGATTTTTTAACGAATTTTGCTTTATTTGATACAATTTTTCTTCCGATTAAGTATGGAAAATGATTTTATTTAAGTGGCCACCTCAGCTGGCTCGGCAGTAGCCCATCCTGGAACACCAATTTTCGAGCACTTTGTCAAAAGTTTGCTGCTCTATTTAGTCAATTTGAGCTTGAATGTTTTGTTTTAAATGATGAATAGGCTTTGTTACGGTGACGTGTGGATTTTCCGTGGCCCAAATCCTACAGTTTTGCTTGTTGACATAACCTCCGAAAAGATTATTTTTCTTGCAAAATTAGGGTCACCGTTCAACTGGTTTAAAGCCCACTCAGCAAAGAGAAAACGTTGTAGATGGTCAACTTGCTTTAACTCCTGAACAAGCTAGACTTGGTACGCAAACATACCAAGGTCTTTGTGCAGAATCATCCTCAGAGTGGTACGGGAAAGGCCGAGTTGTTGACATCTGCGCCGAGTTGATGTTGACGCGTTCATGCGTACATTTTCGGCCACAGCAGCGATTGCTTCAGGTGTACGTCTAGGACGAGCATGCGAAACATGTTTTATGTCCACCAGCATTCCATTTCTGCGCAATTTTTTGATCAAATTTGTAATACTTTGGTTTGACGGCGCCTCATTTCTTCCACAGTCACATTCAAAGTAATTTTTGAGTATTTTCGAAACGTTAGTCCAAATTTATTCGGTGCATATTTTGTAATCGGAAGGTTAAAACTAAACCACTGTCAATAATTCATGGCGCTTAAGTTGAAAGCTTCATAGCATTATATGATATTTACAAAAACGAATTATAAAATTACCAATGTCCAATAAATATGGTCCACGTGTCCAATTACTATATAAAATATCCAATTACTATACTTTTTGGCATTACTTAAATCTCTTTTAATGACAGCATAAGCTTATAGCATTTTACTCAATGCTTATAGTACGGCATTATTATATTTTTTTACACAAAACAAAACTTTATATTGCTGTTAAAATCGTAAAATATACTTTACCATTAAACATAGTTTATTTAAACAACAAACCCCCATAAATTATTTGAACGTTTATGATTTTAACTTTAAAACCTTTTCACGTAAACTAGAAAAGTGTTCACGATCATTGCAAGTTTGTTTTAATTTAAAATCAGAGCCACTGTGTCCGAAAACCGTAGGTCGACCTACGTGTAAAATATGGCAAACGCTCCATTACGTCTTTCATCGTTGTTTTGCCTTTTAATGCAGGGGCGTCCCTGGTTGGTTGGTGAAGGGTGTATACGTGTCCGTATCCCCGGAAACGAAATCCAACGTCTTACTTTGTACCGGGTTTTAAAGGAGATGTACGCAAAACTACACGCATCGCATACAAACAATTCGGTTCATGTGTTTTTACGATTTGTTTGTTTTAATAAAATGTTTTCATTTTAATGGTTTTTAAAATATTGTTTTTTGTGTAATGAAACATGATTTTTCAACGTTTTAAACGCAAATAAACAAAATATTGTTTTATATGGGCTTAATCAAACTTTACAGTTGATATTTATTTTTATTTATAAATAAAAATATTCTGTTTAAAAATATTACAATTATTTTTTGTTGTTTCACTGTTAGTCTAGAATGGGGTTTTTGGAAAGCCATCAGGTTTAGTAGTAACATAACATAAGTGGTACTGCACTAATGCGGGAAGATAGCTTCACGGAGGTTAGGATTTCGTATGTTATTTTAAACATCCCTTTGTATATTTGAAATAAGTTATTGTATCTTTTGACACCTTAATATTTTTAAAAAATAAAATTGTACATACATAAAATATTTATAAAACAATCTACTTACTGAGATAATACACTTCACGGTGGATAGCTTTTTAAATAGCAAATTAATGAACTTAAACTTTTGAATTATAAAACAGCAACACTCTCATCTGCATATAAATTCTAACTGACCTTTAGGAATCACATGCATCTATAATGTTGTAAACAGAGGTTTTTGCTTATTTAAAATGATAAAAGCGCCATCCGTTGCATAAAATTTAAATTAAAAACAGATTCACGGAGGATAGAATCAATTTTTGTAACACCTACATAAATGGTTATAAAAATTATTTCTTTTAATTTTTAATAATATTTTTTATTTGATTCGATTGCTTTGGATGTGTTTAATTTACTTAGTGAACTGATATTTTTAGTATGCTTTTACTACCTCGGATATTTGAAAACATAGGTTAACCTAGAAAGAGTAACAGTCACGGAGGATAGGTTTTAGACTTTTTAAACATTGTAAAAAATAATTATTTGCTTTTAAAAAATAAGCTAATATTAATTTACATACAAGTCTAAATACTTGAAGTGTCTGGAAAACGACACACAATTAATTAATATTTTTTGCCGAAACTCCACAACTTTTCGTTTATATAGCAAAGTTTGTATAATACATATAAACATTATTACCTGAGCAAGTTGGCTCTGCGAATTCATTCCACGGCTTCGCTTGTATGGAGATAGAATTCCGTCTAATATATATATACTGTAATATAAATACAGAATGTATGTACGTTTACTGTCTACACCGTGTTATTCTATTGTCTTTGGCAAACAAAACAAGAACACTCCAGCTATCTGATGACGAAAATGCTGCTTTTACGATTCTGAGTAATGTCTAATAGTTTCTTGAATTATTTTGGGAGGGTGTAAAGCCATTCTAAATGAAATTTTCACTCGGCTAAAAAGGTTCTATTTTAATTAAAATAACCTCGAAAATTACATGATATGTAATTATAAAGTAATTAAATATCAACAATATTACATACATGTTATTGTTTGCTAATGGGTTTAGATGTTACCCAATCCTCTTTACAAGGTATTTATTAAAATTTTCTAAATTAATTGTAAATCAGGTTAATTCATTCAACGGGTGACTTGTACTAAACTGCGCACCACTCAATATGTCGCGACCAAAAATTTCGTCCTTTTTCATAACGACATAACTTTTTTGTTTCTTGAACAATTATGTTTTGGTCTGTGATGTCTGCTTTTCAAATTTTTCGAATTGTAATCTTGGCAACGAAAATATGATTTTTTTTTCAAAAGAGTAGATTTGAGCAT